TATTGAAAGCAGAGCTAAAGTCAACAAAGAGCAGCCTGGCGTAACGGCCCTGCACTTCCAGGTGAGAGATGGTGGTGTGGAGCGTTGTAGCAATGGCATCTTCAGTTGATCTGTTAGCTCTGTATGTGAACTGGAGGGGGTCGAGTGTGGGTGGCAAGCAGGACATGATGTGACTATGAGGCTTGGGCTGCTGCTGCTGTCCGATGTTTTTGCTGCTGCTGCCTCTGGTCCCTTCACCTCAAAGCGTGCGAAGAAGTGGAGTGTTAGTGTTAGGGGAAGTGAAACCAGATAACAGAAAGTTATCCTGGGTATGTTGACTTCCTTTAGGACAGACCTCAGAACAGTTCTCATATCCCACTGCATCTCTATTGTCAAGCTTTGAACTGAGTCTCCAAAAGGCAGATTTTGTTCATTTCAAGTCATTCTTTAGTAGATTTATGTGTGATTTATGAGGTAGATGTAGCTTTTATGGAAAAGTGCACCATGTACTAGGGTACAGTTGCATTCAAAAATTGTAAATTTGTGCATAAATACTGACCTGAAACATTCCTAAGAGTTCATATTTATCTGGAAATAAATACGAGGATAGTGAATTCCTGATAGCTCTGTAATTTGTCTTAAGCTATTTGCAGTTAATTTGAAGCTTTTTTTATGCAATCCTGTTAAGTATTCACAACATCTGAGTCTTTGGCATTTGTTTGTATATTTATTTATTTATTTGGTCGTAGGAGCTTCAAAACGTGCTTAATTATTATCATGCAAAGTGAACAAACTGAGCTTGCAGTTCTCAAATATCATGTGATATCTTTGCGAGCTATTTGGTCGGACGTGTTGAGATTCTCCTTTGTCGAAGTAAGAGTTTCATTGTGATCACAAGTACGCAGTTACCACAACTGACGACACAAAATGAACATCCCCTTTTTTGTGGTTTTTGAAAGCACTTTTCCTGGTAATTATTCTGTCTTGTGAACTTCTCTGACTGAGCATGTCTGTGGGTGTTATATAAGGGTTTATGGCACATACACGACTGTGTCAGAAGGGCATGTCTGATTTGGTAACATCGATGACCCTCGATTAGTTGTACTGTTATTTAGGCATTTTGCTCAGGATGTCAGTTTGCCCTAGACGCGTTTCTGGCTGCTCTCGTTTATGTACACTGAAGATGGAAGCAATAAAAATCCACCACTACAAAGAAAGATACAGCGCAACAACACAACAAACTGCAGGCCCCAAATGACCTTAAAAAAACAACAAAACAAATCAACTTCTCAACTTATCACACACACTGTAGCTTTAAAGGGGTTCCTCATTTCATCAGTCATCAAAGTTCCTGACTGTGTATATACGTTGAATACGTGGTTTCAGTTTCCGATGTGGAATGATTATTAGAGTTGTCTAAATAAATGTTTATATATTTTAGATGGAGCACTGTCAAAGCAACATTAGCCAGTGGACACTACATGGATTCTGGTAAGTGTGTGTGTGTGTGTGTGTGTGTGTGTGTGTGTGTGTGTAATACATTCCTGATTACAAGGATGTATTATATGTTTTCCACCATACTGTATATATTGAGTGAATAATGAGGTTTTTTATTTGGTGAAAAAATGAAATCTTTGGCCAAACCATTCAATACCACTGTTGTTATTGCTTGGCTGAATTATGTTTGTTTGTTTCTGTTTTGTTTATTTGTTTGCGTCAATATCCCCTTTTTTCTGTGAGTGAATGAAGTTTGAATCTTTCTTTTTTCAGGCCAGATGGTGGCGCTTTCTGCAATTCTTCATGGCATTTCAACTCTTCCGAAATAGAGGTAAAACACTATTCAGAGTCTTTTTCTAAATATATTTTTTCTTAGGTGAGTGTAACTCACAGAAGATAATATAACACAAGCTTAAATACCAGTTTGCATATATTAAAAAAAGCTGGAATTAGTTCATGAAATGAATACACAAGTCTCCAAATAGCTGTTTTGAAGTGAAGCACCCAAAACTAAAAAAAATACAAATAAGCATAGAAACCATTTGAAAAGGTGAATTTCTCCTGTTTTTATACTTTAGACCAGGGGTGTCAAACTCAAATACACAGTGGGCCAAAATTCAAAACTGGAACAAAGTCGCGGGCTAACGTTAATATTTACTGAAATATATTTATTCCTCCAGATATAAGAATGAATCTTTTCTTATGGACTCAAACACATTTTGCTAAAAAACTGAATAAGGAACAAGCAAAGCTTAATACTAAACAATATATATATTAGCTGTATAATACCAGTAGGCCAGCTCTGATAGTAATTTGGTATGGCTTCGCGGGCCAAATGTAATTAGGCTGTGGGCCAAATTTGGCCCGCGGGCCAGAGTTTGACACCTATGCTTTAGACCTTTTAGTGATGAATAAAACAACACATGCCTTTGCTTGTATGTTTTCAGGACCTGCTCCCAGACATGAAGACGAGTTGGCCTGACTTGTTTGATCCCTTGTCTAATGACTTCTGGTATGTCTGAGCTGCTGGAACTATAGAGCACTTCTACTACCACTTTAGTGTTGCTTTAATTCAGGGATGTGAAATTAATTAAATTAATTTTACATAGTGGCCGATAAACAGTCTGAGGAATAAGATACCAAAATGTTCTTTGGTTTTTGTTTTAATTTACACACAGTTTTTATTAATTCACATAAAATGTTCAATTTTTTTTAATTTACTGTGGACTCGATGTGCAAAACAAAACAAAAACCCCCAGAAATTGTCATGCAACTGTTTATCTATTCTTTTGGCCAAAAAGGAGGTGTTTTTCAGCAGGAAATTTTCTGCGTTTCTTCATATTTATCATAGCTATCCAGGTGGTAGGATTGGAGTCTTTGCCCCCCAGGATTCGTGTTTGACACCCCTGCCTTATACGAATGCTGCTACATGGTCTGTTTGAGCAGTCCAGTGAATCTTTAAGATAATATGAACATTTCCAAATAATTTTATTTGTGTGCTTTAGGAAATATGAGTGGAAGAAACATGGTACGTGCGCAGCCAAAGCCATTTCTCTGAACAGCCAACATAAATACTTCAGCAAGGCACTGGATCTGTATCATACACTGGATTTGGACAGGTACAAACCACTCGCATATTTACACGTTTATACATATGCACACCTGATTCCTGCTGTCCAGTCCAGAGAAACGCATACAGTTATTTTATGTATGGAAATGTCTGTTTTTGTTATTTTAGCATCCTGAAGAAGTTTTCCATCACGCCTTCTCCACAATACTATAATGTAAGTTTGATTGTATTTGTACAATCCCAGCTTAAATCTTGTTAGAAGTACCTCACAATGTTAAAGGTCATAACTGCAGCTTCTCTTATTTTGCTCCTGATGTGTCTGTGTAGTTTTCATACATTGAAGGAGTAATAGAAAACTTCTACCACGTCAAACCTAAGATCCAGTGTGGCCATTCAACAAAGGTACATTTCAGGTTCACTGAAATTATTTCAAAATGAGTTTTAACACGTCAGCTGTTAAATTGTTAATTGGTATGTTTTTGATTGTTTGTTTTGACAGAATGACAGTTTCCAGGTTTTGGGGCAAATTGAGTTGTGCTTCAACAGTAGTTTCGCCCTGATGGACTGTGAGAAACAAGTTTCCACGGAATCTGATCCTGATAGAGGTTGGGACTATCCCATGAATGTTGACAAGGGATCAGGGTTATCTGTGTGCAACCACGATGTGCCAGTTTACTATCCACCTGTTGAATAATACAAAAAACCCAATATTTTCACAAATTGAAATTGAACAACACACTATGATGATGATTTTTTTTTTTATTCGAATGCATTTAAATTCTAACTGTGACTTGAATAAAAACTGCCTTTGATTGAAATGTTCTTTTTACGTCCTACAAACCAGGACGCACACTCAGCCACACTCCACTGTCACTTTGTGCTTTGCTGGAATTATATTCCCGTCTGACTCTTACAAGTAGATAAGACTGCCAGTGGGTAGCATGGGTTTCTCTGCAGCACAGCAGGGGCATTATGGTAATTTCAAGTCAGGACGGGCAGGGAGTTTAATATGCTGCACATTTATAAATCTTCGTAGTGTGTATTTTTTTTATTATTGGTAGGCATATTTATTTCTGCATTGCTACATGTGCCTATGTACCACCTATTGTGTGTCCTCTCTCCTGTTTTGGCAGGGGTGTTTGGATTTCTTTGTATATAGTAATGCATTTTTGTTTTGTTTTGGTTTTGTTTTCAGAATC